GAGCAGACAGGTACTTTTCACAACTCCTTTTCCCACACAGCTGCATAACGTCAGGTCAGCCCAAATTACGTCTACTGTGGGAAAACTCTTCCCATTCCACCTGCAAGCTGTCCATGATGGGCAGGTTAAGGGAGCTGGTAGGAAAAAAAGAAAATGCCAGCTGCACTAGATCTGAGGCAGGGCAGGTTTTCCTCACCCTCTGTTCCCAGCTGTATTAACCTTACAGGTGGCTATTTTCCAGATCACAATGACTGGAACAATACCACAGTGACACACTTTTTAAAAAGATGGAGAAAAGAAAGGCTTGCTCACATATTCTCAAAGCCAGAGAGGTGTCCAGTAATGCCATTCTGAGATAACTGGCAATTCAATCACAGCCTCTTTAGAGACACCTAAGTAATTCAGCTACACCACATTGTGATTCACTCAAGACCCCTCAAAGCAAATGCAAGCTGTGCCTTACCCAAAATTAGGCACTGATCCAGGTGACCAAGAAAGAATAGAAACAGGAAGGAGCAGGAGAGACAAGCAGCTTGTAGGCAGTGAAATCTCCAGATTCCTGGTGGCAGTTTGCTGTTTGCGAGGACAAGTCACAGCTGCAGCAGAGAACAGGCTGCTTGATGTGATCCAGCAGTTAGACCCACTGGGGAATGAAAGTAAACTTCCTACTCTGTTCTGTCCACTGCCATATCCAAGATACAAAGCAAGATAAGAGGAAGGGAGGAGGGGGACAGAGTCAGGCTGCAGCGTGACAAAGTATTTAAGAAAAAATAACAAAGCAGAGGAATGGAACAACATCATTTGAACAAACACTTTATGCTTTAAAGTGCCTATACATTAAACAAGATTTACAGCTATTTCCTTTTCTCTCTCTGACGTCTACAGCCTAATCATCCCAACAGCTGTGAAAATAAAGGACTCTTCAATTGTGAAGCAGGACCCAGGCTAATGGGAGGACAAAGCCAGTGTGGCATCAAACTTTTCTTTTTATTAAAAAAAAAAAAATTCTCATAGTTGGACTCTCACGAGGCAACCAGCCCATGAGCAAGAGACCAGCTTTCTATTTTACACCCCTCTCTTTTCAACAACAATGGCAGCAAAAGCTGTAAAAAAAATTGGTTGCATGAGTTGTACTTTCTTACTCACCTTACTGCCTTTTTTTTTTCTTAAAGTCACCCTTCCCTTTACTCCCTGAAAGATCCCTGACCTCAGAGGTGTATTGGTGTACTAGGCTCTGCACGCACCAAGTATCAAAGTGCACACTGTAAACAAACAGCATCTGCTGATTGCAGGGAAGAACACCCATGCTCTGCACATACACCGCAAGAGCACAAACAGGCACAGTATGATTCCTGAATTTTGAAGAGCTTGCTAGGAATTTCACAGTTTGCTTACTGTCAAAATGATTTTTTTTTTTTAACCCGCTTGAGTTCCTCCATCTCCTTGAAAAAACAAACAAGCCATCTCTAATTCTCTAAGACTTTCAGCTCCAGCTCACATCATCTAGAGTGGCAGATGTGCAGTCAGAAGCCTGAAGAATTAAACTCCTCTCTAGCCAGCAGAAAAAGTGGGACTAAAAGAAACACTGGAAATGTAGGACGTGTATATGTGTACTCAGAAAATAACAGGTAGAGTCTACTAAAACAATACTTTAAGGAACAGATGGAGCAGTTGCTCACCACTTGGGTTACGGGCCTAACAGCCCAATTTTTTTAATAAACGTAGCACTCTAGTTGCTAATGTCCAAAGCTTCAACTTTGGATTCACTTTACAGAAAATGAACTGGATAGTTTTTCCTCATCTAATTTCACACGTTGGCCCAAATGAGATGCAAAAATAAGTCTTCTCTTAAGTGAAAAAAAAAAAAAAAAAAGTTTGCTTGACAGCAGCCAAGTGTGCATATACTGATGAACAGAAATGACACTCTAAGCAAGCAACCTAATTTATGACTTGGAAGAAAAACAAAACCATGATATTTTGATATCTAGACTGCCTGTCAAAATTTTTCAGTTAGTCCAATTAAGAGGTTAAATTATAAAAAAATCGAACCATGGAATTGACTACCTCTAAATCCATATAAACACAAATGAGTTTTTGTGTAGCTACTATAAATGTGATAATTTAATGCAGTCATCAGTATACAGCAAGGAAGTGTTTGAAAATTAGCATGCCAAGCAGGCAAAACAAAAAAGCTATATAAAGAACATTAAAGGTAGCTTTCCCCTGGGCAAAAGTTCCTGTCAACAGGCAATGAATACAGAAATCACAAAAAAACCTGCCAGAGCTTCTGCTTCGTATGAGCGTATCTCAGACTACACTGTAGGGAACCTGTGACTTTCCACAAATACCCTGAGCTGAACTTGGCAAAACTAACTCAAATGCACTCCAGTAATTGTCACTGCACTCCAGCAAGGAAATGTATACACCAACTTCCCCATCTGTTTGTTCTATCTTCCTTCACAGCACTGAAAACTCAGTGCACATCTGGCCGTAGGGCACTGCAGCCCAAAGGCAAGTGAGTGCAGGAGCCAGAACAATTTTCCACTCCAGCTCAAGGCCCTGATCCTATTTAACTCCACAGCTCTGAAAGAAAGCAACTATGCCATCTCTTTGAAGTTTTAGATTTTGAAGGGTCAAGATTTAAAGCAGTAAGGCAAGGCCCATCTTGCTTCACTCAATTATTTTAAGCATTTTCTAGAAAATTTCCCTATTCTTAATTTAAAATTACTTCCTTGCTTTTTTCTGTTTTTTCATTGGGTCGTTTTAATGAACCAGCGTTTTTCAGTCCAACACTCACTCACTTTGGTCAGTTCTTCATGTGAGCAATGAAATACCAAAATGGAAGTGAGGCAAAGGAGAATCAGAAGTGCTAGAGACAAAATGAATACAGATTTAGGAGGAGTCATTATATGTGCATATTGTGGGATGCCACAGGTTCAGGCAAACATTTATTTCACTTTGATGACTATCCGAATCTTCTACAAGGCTGTTTCCTGCTTCTGAAAGGTATTTAAGGAGCAAGGTTGTGGGTTTCGTGTTTTAACTGAGAAGATCATAAAAGATACACTAGAATTCCTATCAAACCACAAAGCATGATTTTTTCACGAAAGGTCTAATTTAAGCATTCATGTTGAAGACAAAGTTGTAGTTACTGTTTATTTCGAAAACAGAAGTAGTGGTGGTTTAAAGTATTAAAAGGGTTAGGTATTTTTGCACTTGGGGTTTTTACAGTTTATGGGTAAAATAATTAGCTTTGCTAATTATTAGCACCAACTTCTTCACTTGCCTTGGTGGGTGACACAGATGGTCAGTACTGATGAAAACAAGTCACACACCCCCCCTTATTTAAGTATCAAGCATCAACTATCTTTTGAAATTTCCTTCTATTATCTTCTGTTCATCTCATCCCAAAAGCCTTCGACAAACCAAAAGCAAATGAAAATGGTCCCCTCTATTTCCATCTACAATAACCTGCAAATTCTACGCTAATCTAACTATTATGGAAGTGATGTGCATACAACCAACTTTGATTCTCTAACTGATATTTAGAAAAGAAGCCACATGCCTTTGAAACGCTCTAGTTGATGTAAAATGTAGCAATGTTAAAATCTCCACTTCCTACTTAATATTGTTCAAAGATTCCATCAAATATGTAAAGCTGTCTGTGGGATTAGTGGTAACTTCCTGTCTTTCCATGACTGCCCTCAACTTTACTCCTATGAAATAGTGAACCTATTGACCTGAAAAACCAGATGTGTGAGAGATAATTTTGTTAATACCTGGCTCCACTGTACAAAACTCAGCTCCTCTCAAAAGGCTTCCACATATCTCATTGTATTCAGAAACAAATACAAAGCCTCTTTTTGTACGACTTAGCTTTCAGTAATTTCTTTCTAGATAAGTACATATTCACTCATCGACACAAGTCAAAAATCAAACAAAATAAAACTCTTCAAACTAGTGAGACTTTTTCTGCTAAAAGATGGAAAAATCAATCACTCTAACTTCTACTTTTGAATCCTCTTGAGGTGCTCAGATACATCAGCGGCACGGATAGAAGAAGTGTGGTAAGTGCACAGCACTCCTCTCTGATCCAGCCAAGTCCTGATTTGGCCAATACCACTTTCACTTTATGCCTCAAACTGCTGTTCTGCAGCTTCAGTAAGTTACTCCGAGCCTGGTTACATGCCAGTAGGGGGTGAAGTGCTCACACACCGCCCACAGCACAGGACCCACAGGACCCCTCTTAGTCATGGAATCCAGCCCCTAATGTTGCAGACTGCTTATTCATCCCTTGTGAAAACTATCTCCATCTGGAAAGGGAAATGTTTCCCTGTCTCCAGTTCTCTGGTGGGGAGCCCATTAGATCCCAGTTACCAAGAACTTTCAAATCCTACTGGGTAGAAGGAGCAGAAGCTCTTTATTCAACCTTTTCTATATTGTATGTTTGCATCCTTGTCAAACTGAATGAATGGCAGCTAAAATCTGACAAAATCAACCAATTCTTCACTCAAACTCCAAGATCGGACGTAGCAAGTAAGGACAATGCACACTCACCATCACTTCACTATAGAGTTACCTGCCACATCACAAATGGTAACATTTAATCAGGCTAGTATGAAATACATTAATGCAGCCTGAATTCTAGTGCCAAAGGCTTCACGAATTTAGTTGCTAACACTAGCTAGCAAGACAAAAAAAGGCTGACAACTGGGAGTTGTACTGATTTTTTTTCACAGCTTTGTTACTGTATGTCTGTACAACAAACGCAACATGACACCTCATCTGTAACATCTTGATAATTGTTTAAATACGTTTTCAGAAATAACCAAATAACCATGAAATAGTAAAACACCAGAATCAAGATTCAAAGATTAACCTCTCGTGCCCTACAACAATTTAAGAATTATCTTCAGAAAGAAAAATACCTTCAAAAATTAAACTAATGAGAGCAAACGCTTTAAAAATAACAAGTGTGGAAAATTTTTGAATAGTCTTACTTGTAGTTTTTCTCCCAGAACTTGATCGGTCTTGCGTATGATGCGATAAAGATGACGCTACCAAGAAACGGACTCAGTGGTGTAGAAAAGATCGAAGTGGCCAGAGTTTGAAAAAAAAGCATGGCAGAGTCTGAAATTGCAAGTTAAGGTAACACAAACAATTTCATTATACTTTTAAACCATTGTTGGGGCAGCTCTTTGAACTATTTATTTTTGCTTTTTTTGTTGTTAATTATTTTACCAAAGAGGTGGTAAGGAAAGGAAAGGAAGGCAGGCAGTGCCAAATTGCCAATTACCAGCATGTAATCGGTGGCTCTTCAATGCTACACAGTTGTGATGGAGGCGACATGTCTGAAGGGAGTGCGTTATTAGCAGGGTGACCCTGTCTAATCTTTGCCTGAGGACAGATCCCAAGCGTGGGCAGAGCAGTAAGTGCCCTTTTCAAACTACCTAGTGACCCTTCCATGACACAAAGTGCCATTCCAGAGTCTGACAGAGTTTAAAACACACCACCCTCCCAACTCCCAGAATACCACTTTCTTGGAAATTCTTTGTTGTCTGCACTGAAGTCTTGCTCCCACTGTGTCCAGTATCCCATTCTGTGAGTTTCTGCTTATTTTGGAATGACCTAGTACGTGGAGGAACAACTATGCCTCTACAATCCAGCCTGCTGGCTTAAAATCATGTTTTCATGTTAATTCTTACTGACAATTTAATATTCCATGTTAACTGAAAGGTAAAAGATATTCAGCATTTCACACTTTTTCAAACACATATGAAATGAGAAGGTGAGGACAGGTGAATAGTATATATCACACATAAACATCATAATGAATGCCTGAATCCACAGCTTACTTTAATTGTAAAGTCGTATTTCAGTTTGCTGGAAAGCAAGTTAGGAGACGGATAAGGGTACTGAAAACGATGCAAGTTAAAAGGACCATGATTTTTTTTAAAAAAAAGGCAAATTAAATGTTAGGCTTTAATTCTTCATTAATTCATACCACATCCATGAAATCTCAGGTAAAAGATTTCCAAGTTGGCATAGGAGACCAGTTTTGCTTCCTCTCTTGGGAGGAAGGTGCTATGCAAAAAAGCCATGAAGTAAGGAGCCACTATCAAAGTACAGTGACCATATGCATCTCAAACTAAAAGGAAGGTCAAATCCCAATAACTCAATAACCACAGTCTTTTAGCTTACCCTCTTACAGTAATATCCTGCATGTGTGTCCCACAGTCTCTGAGACTTTAAAAAAAACACGTTTTAGCACACGTAGCATTATTCGTGTACAATATTTTCATGAAAAGGCTAGCTAGCCATGCTTTCAAAGACATGTGTGAAATCACAAGCAAATATTTGCCAAAAGATATCTCTCAGATCCCTCAAACTTATTAAGAGAGAGTGGTCTGGGACAGTGTCTTTGTGCATTAGAGATCGAAAAATTACCTGCCCTCAGATCTCAAGTTCAAAAAGCAACAGCGAGCACAAAGCAGGAAGCAAGAGCATCAAAAAAGTGAAACTGTCACATTACACTGCAGTCATGACCAGCACTGGCTGTGAAAGATGAACAAGTATTCACATCTGTCAGATAAGGGAAGGAGGCATTAGAGCTAAAGAGACAAAAAGAGAATGAGGAGGACAGATAAGGACAGCAAATCAAGTTTTCCAAAGAGAGTTCTAATGTCATGACTGATTTGAAAATTGCCACCATCATGAGTAAAGACATTTAGGACTCCACTGTGAACTGTTTGTGTCTAAGACATAATCAGTGGCAAAAGACATAATGCTCTACTAAATGTACATTGGAAGACATTTCCCATTTGACTTGTGAAGTGATGTTAACTAACTGTTCCATATACGTAAGCATGTCATGAGAGCAAGTAGCAACACCTGACTCCCTCAGATGTACTTGATGTGTACAGCGGGCAATTACTTGTCATCAGGGCTTTTTTTATTTGATGGTATCCAATTTGCTTCCATTAGGTTATTCTTTCTTTTATTTTTTTATACCAATGCTTTAATTATGTCTAAGTAATAAATACAAAAGTATCACCAAAAACTCACATGTGTGCTTTCTTACTCTATATCCCAAGCCTGTGTACCATCTTTGTTAGGCTACACTGTGTAGAAGCAGAACTTGTTTCTTTGTGAATAATGGATTTTCTTTTTAAGGTGGTCAAAATCAAATCTTGAGAAAGAATAACTAAAACTTCTTCAACATGAAATAAAACATTGTACTTGAGGATTAATTCTTGTAATTTAAAAATCTGTTTAAATGCTAATCAGATTCAAAACAAATAACTGAAAGACTGACATTTTCAAAATCTTCCATCCCCTTTTTTTAATACAGAACTATGCAGTAAGGCCAGCCCAAATCCTGTGTTTCTCAAAACCCACATTTTTAATTGCAATCACTACAGGCCAAAAATGTTTGGTCACTTCCAGGCAAATGATCCCCTAGAGGATGGGAGAACTGAGTGTCACAGGGCTTCCTTTTCTGATGTTAGAGCTATAACTCTGAATCAGCCAATGCAGAAACTCTCATAAACAAGATAATCTAAACTACAAAATCCTTTCTTTCCAAATTCCAGTGTTCATTTATTAGGTAAAATCCTCCTTTGACTACAAACTACATTGACTTTCTCAGTACACTGATAACCATAAACTCATAACCTCATCTTACCCATTTGAACACTGGGAAGTGAAGTCAAGCGAACTCTCCTCAAACCAGAATCTCATTCCCGTTCCTGGTTTTTCGGGATTAAGAGGGACTGTGAGCGGTCATCTAGTCCACCTAGTAGCCACAAGGCAGGATCAGTTAAACGTATATGACTCCTGATGGACCTAAGTCTAAATTCCTAAAGATCTCTAATGGTGAAGGCCCTACAATCTACACCAGACAAAGGTCCACGTGTTGCCCTTCGTGCCCTGCACGCCATAATCAAATGCATTAAAGCATGCAGAGCTACTCCCATCACTGAGCTCTATGGCAAAAGCACACCGAGGCACTTCGAAATTTAAAAATTTATGTCCCATTTGCAGATGTGATTTAGGCAATTAAGAGGCACAAATAATTAACTCTGCGAAGAAATGGCAGGTTTAGTGCCTCTACAAACTGCCACATGCATTCATCACTACTGTTTGCAGGCTTATGGCAAGAACAAATAAAAATACAGTGCAAAAACGCAGAGTTATTGTTGTTGTGGGAACAGTAACTTGAGCATTTTTCCAGTATCTTAACTGCAACATTGCCTTAAAAGACAGATTTGCATTTAGAAAGCATTCTATATAGACAGCTAGTCTAGAAAACTTTAGCAATGGCCGAATAAACAAACTAAACCCTGCTTAGTTAACTACTTCACATTTTGCAAAGCTTAATTTGTACTTTTATCAAGAGTAAAGTTATCACTGCACAAAGTATTTGTGACCAAAGGGAAACTTGTTGAAATATAATCTTAGTTCTTACATGTTTGATAAATAAACTTGTAAACACTTCTCCTGCAATTCATGCCTGCAACTGAGATGAAAATAATTTTTTGTTCTGAAACTCTGGAATAATTTTCTACAAATCACTCAAAATTCTCAGACAGAGCACTGTTTTTATAATGCTTTCCTGTCATAAATATACAATCTAAAGCTTCCGCTCTGGGAGTCACTCTTTCTGCACTTCCCTCTGCCCAAGACTCTCATTTATTCTTCTTATCTAGGAACACAAGCATTGTTATTCAATGCTGCATATGATTCAATGTATCACAGCAAAGAGCAGAGGGAAGAAACCACTCAAGGAGGGGAAAAAAAACCCTGTGGGATGAAAGGCACTTAAGTGCATACATCTAATAAACAGGACAAAGTAAACTCTTCAGTACATCTGAACTTAAACCACTTTGTCAACTCTTCTTCCATAACTCTGGTTGGGAGGGAAGGAAGAAATGAAAAGTTAGTCTCTGAAAATGTTTCAAATGTCAATAAAGTTAAATTTGTTCAGTTAAAGTGTTCTATTTCTTTTTAAAAAAAAAAAATCTTTTCCCTGTACTAATTCAAGTTTCTAACTGAATTAGCCTTTAAGCTGAAAAACTTTTGTTCCAAAAACCCAATATATATTTTTTTTAACCCTACAGACATTTGGGGGTCATTGAACTCAGTGTTTTGCTCTCCATATCCACAAAACCAATGTTCACAGCCCTAGAACACGCACTGAAACAGACCGTTTCCAAAGGACTACTTTGGTGTTCAAGAACATACATTGTCACTCGTAAAACAGAGTGGAAATGTTAAAAAGGAGAATGTTTCTCAGCACCACAATGAGAATTAACATTAAAATCCAGCTGCTTCTGAAATAGAAACAAAAAATCAAGACAGCTGCAATAGAAATCGTTCTCACTGAAATGAATTTCTATCTGAGATACCAACTAGAAGCAGCTACTATTTTAGAGCTCAGTCAGCTATACGCCCAGCACTTTACAAAACTAGCTTCTGCATATGTAAAAGTCCACCCAAGTTGGAGCTAATATGTCAGTCACAACATTTTTTTCTAGATGCATCAAAAGTCAATGCTGAGGACTGTGGAAGTAAGCAATCTGCAGAATGTGGCTGGGTGGCAAGGGAGCAGGCATAAAAGACCAGTTTGAGTCAGAGTTCAGTTTCCTAGTTTCAGATCCCATGCAGCCAAGAAAGAGGGAAAACTGTCTTTCTCAGGAGATGTTCCAAACATTTTCACTTTTTAAAATAAGTTACCTCAAAACTTTGCACCTTGTTCAAACTTTGTAAATAAATTACATACATGAAGAGGAATTTAAGAACAAAGAAAAATAAATTTTAAAAGGATATGAGGTATTGCAAAGAGCTGAGCAAAAACATGGAACGATGATCCCCAGGCAATCTGCCAGGGAGCAATGTACGTCATGATGAACTGCAACTTCTGCAGTAGGTCCCATAGCTGGAAAAAAGAAAAAGAAAAAAGAAAAACATGGTGACTTTTTAGGCACTGAGATAGTTTCAATACTAATATCTGAAAGTGACACTTCTTAGAACTGTGCCCTGGAATGAATGTGAAATAAATTATATTGTATTACTAGCTTTCACGGGCTCTAAGGCCTTACTTTAGTAAGGCACAAAACTATATTCTTCATTTGAAATTCAAGCTTGCAGTAAGGTACATTTTTAACCACCATACTGAGGTAGCTCCCAGGTTACCTTTCTTCAGCAGTATGTCTGCTTTAATCAGAATGTGGGAAAACAGGTTCTGATGTTTGCTGCGTATGTCACACCAGCAGTCAGACAGTTACAGGAGAAGAGACTCCAGGAGAAAGTGGAGATAGCAAACAGAGGAAGCTCAATGTGTGGCATGCGTGGCTCTGCACATGGAAATCACACTTATTTCTGAAGAACACAACATTTTCATTTGTTGAATCAATGGGAGAAGCCATCACTGTGTAAGCATATGCTTGTCATTAACCATGAACTGTAGCTGCATTTTCAAGATCAAACCACCCTACCATAAAAACATTGTATTAATATGAATTTTTATTGTTGTGCAGTACAAACTGAAAAACACACTGAATTTATTTTTGCTTCCTATAAAATATGGTTGGTGCCGCAACTAGCGTTTTTTGTCTCAAGAATGATGTGTACTTACTCCCTAAAACAGAGTTTTTTCTCCCAGCTCCCTTGGCATCAGGCCAAAACAGATCTTATGTCTCATCTGTATTGGGGCCATCAGACTCATATTGCAGAGCGGGTTCCTGACAAACTGTCAGGAAAGATTTGGCCATCAACAGACATTAGTGCTCAACTCACACACACCAGTTGACAGTGAGACAGAAGTATATGCAGTATTTCATGCTCATATAGCAAATGTGTTGAATTTCCTATAGTAAATTTTTTATTTGAGTTAATGAAAAACAAGACATTGCCAATATCCTGAAAGACATTGAGCCTGCATCAATACTTGTATATTAAACGCTTCCAGGGAATGTTCCCAGGCACTGCTATTGTGTACGCTGTTAAATTGTTAGAAAGGTCCCTGAGAAGGTTTTGGTCTGGGCCAGCTAGCACTCTCCCAAGCAACCTCCAGGTATCCTTTTGAATGGCAACCCTGCATGGTTGATTTCCAGGTGGCAGTTCCATACCCCCACCCTGTCTATAGACCAGGAGAGTTTATTAGCATGGACACAAGCTTCCCCACGACAGCTAGCCTCAGGTACAGAGTGTGGCTCTAGGCACGCTTCATTTACTAGTGTGTGGACAGGCAGAGACCATGCACCTTCACTGGCTAATTCATTTCAGCTGTCCTTAAGTTATCACCCCTTAAGTAACACTTGGCCATCTGCATCCACATTGGCAATGCACTTACAGGATGTTTCACTGAGCTTCTCTATGAATTGTTGTAAATAACTGCAAATTAATTGGGAGGGAGTAACAATGCATTAATAGCATTCATGTGTTTTGGTCTTTGTGCTACCAAACAATCACAGAAGCAGGTGCTAACTCCAGTTACAACTGATAAACCTTCCCAGCTGAGATGCAAGCAGTGCTCCACATGCTTTCTGTGCTTTGGCATGTCTCAAATTAGGAGCAATATGCAAAATCCAAAATATGCTAACTTTTCACAGGCATACTATTTAAAACCAGTAAAGCCCTGATAAAAACAAGCTGTTATGATCTCTTCAATGCACAGCCTGGTTACCCCTACTTAGTTTAAGCATGAGAAATTCCTATCTTGCCAACTTTGTTTTCTCTCAAAAATACTACATGTGACTTGAAAACTACAACATTAGATAAAGTAGGCAAGCAAAACTGAACAGAAACCAGAACTGACTTATTTATTTGAACCCTGTTTAGCAGGCTGTGGAGTTGCTTTGTTTTCCTTAATTTTTTTATATCTGAAATGTCTGAATGAACAGCTGTGAGAAAAATTGCATCTGCTAAAAGATTTAAGTGAAAGGCTGAACAAGCTAATGACTCACATCTGAAACCTCAAAAATTCAAAACTGCAGCACAACCCCGCAAAGTTCTGCCTGTTGCAGATTGAAATCACAAAGCCATAAATAACCCCAGCTGTGTGCAAAGCTCAGGGTTCATCAAAAGGTTTTCAAGCCTCAAATAAAATTCAGGTTTTGCTAGGAAACCAGATCCAGGAGGAGACCCTTCTGGCTTCTTGTTCCATTACACAGTTTTAATCATTCTTACTATTTATACATTCTTGCAAAACATGCCATAGAGCCTAAGTTCTCTGTTGCTTCTAACAAGTCCTACGACCTCTACATTCACCGCTGCTTGAACTTGCTGTTGTTTCTTTCAAAACTTGCCTCTCACCTAATGCTCCTCCAAGGCAGGCAATGGAGCTTTTTTCCATTTGCAAGAATGTGGACGTGAGAAGAATATTCTAGGGAACCTTTCTTGGGTTTTGAGAGCCTTATGACGCTGGACCTGAAGGCCTGGAAAAGTATGATTTTCAAGGTACTGCTTTCATTAAGAGTTTTCAAGTGCTTCTATTACCTCTTCATTTACTGCTTGCAGGGCACGTTCTCCAAAACACCTTAAATTTTACATTTTACATATCTAACCATAATCGCTAAAGGTGATGTCACCTAGCAACTATAATATAGAGATTTAGGAAGGCGGGACTTGGCTTTACATTTTCTCTTTTTCATTTTGCTAGAACCATCTGAAAAAAATATTTCTCCTTGTCAGTTTTACCCAATTTACAGTATGCTTCCTCCTTTATCTGATATAGCAACTCCAAGGATTCACAAAGCACTACTGCTTTTCTCACAGAAAGAAGCTGAAGCTTCTAAAAATTGTCTCCATAAATAGGAGGAAGCTCATCCTTAGAAACAGTCATCCTCTTACCTCAACTGCAACTAACCGCACTTCAGCCTTCAGTAATTGCAAGCTAAAGAGGAAAATCTTGAACGTCCTTTTTAAATTGTCAGAAACAATGTTGGATTAGAAAGGGTTAGGAAAGCCAAAGCCCATCTGGAGTTGAATCCAGTGAGGAAAGTAAAAGGCAACAGGAAGGACTCCTACAGGTATATCAGCAGCAAAAGACAGAGGGAGGGAAAAAACATGGACTCACTGCTGAATAGGGCAGGGGACCTGATGACAAAAGGCATGGAGAAGGCCAAGGTACTCAATGCCTTCTTTGCCTTGGTCTTTACTGGCAAGCTTTTGGGAATTTGCAGGCCCCCAAGAGCTGTGGGAAAGCATGGAGAAATGAAGACACCCCAAGCAGTGAAGGATTAATTAAGGGTACATTTAAACAAACTAGACAAAATCACTTCCACAGGACCTGATGGGACACCTCAGCCCTTCTGTGATTATGTGAAATACACAACTTATCCTCAAGTAAAGCTTTGTTTCAATGAGGGTAATAACATGCTCCTGAGGGTGTGAGGTATATTTTTTAAACAGTTCTAGAAACAAAGGAGGAATCTTCCCATCTAAAGTGAAAAGGTAAAAAAAGAAAAAAAAACCAAACAAAACCAATCTGCGATGAATTTTAACCCTCTCTTTATAACGATTTCCTTGAACACGTATAAAAAGATTAATTTTTCATTAAGACTTCTGCATCTCACTTTAGGATGATTTACAAAATAATATTTTTCTTAAGTTTTCTTATATCTTCAATGTTTTTTACAGTTCCCTAAGCAGAAAAATTATACATTATTTAGGGGACAAGGTTCTAATATTCCAAGATATCTTTACTCATGTGACAGTTTTGCACAGTAAACAGTTTCTAAGTCTTTGATAAAGAGTTTAAATTATCAGAATAGTGAGTGAATTTAAACCATCAGATTCCCACTACTGTCAAGTGAAAGTGCAGAACATGGATCCATCTTTCATATTTATTTTATGTGGACACATGCATTTATCATCTTAATCATCCTTAACTCTTCTATGAGTTCTGAAGCCTCTACAGACCTCTGGCTCATAAGGTAGTATCTTATACAGCTATAAACAAATCAAAGGCAACAGGATTTCTTTTAAATCACATTAATCTTACTTAAACAAATTTAAGTAACATTATAAACTGGAAGTTAATGACAATTAGTTAACATACATTAAAAAAATATCTTGGGAGTCTGAAATATCACTAAAATGTGATCTCCTTTTCTCAGTTTGGTAGATTTCAATAAACTAGGCAGAGATTAACACCTGAATTTAAATGACAGCGAATGTGAGATGAAGACTATGCAATGCTTTCAGCTTTTGGCAGCCTTTCTATCTGTTTAGCATCTGTTGGGACTCTGTGTGGGCAGACTGCTTGGCAATACTGGGACTAAATAATGCATAAACATTAACATTTTCTTGCTAAGCTTGAATTTTGCTGTATTTTAGAAATGGATATGTACCAATTTGTTTTAAACAAAAATAACTGTCATATACATATGGCTATGTGCTCTATATGCAACACAAAATTGAGATATTAAAAAAGTTAAATGCAGAAAGCCATTATTTTCCCATTTTAAATGGGTGTTTCTTTATATTCCTGTTTAGATCCTGAAAATTTGAGACAGATTTGAGGTCAGACTCTCAGATGCTAGGGAAGTATTCAGTTTTTCATGTTAAGCTGATTCCGGTCAATTGCTAGCTCCACGTCTTGGAAGTAAATTCTAATACTTACTGTTAATTTCTTTGTGTGTGTGTATGCCAATAAAAATTAAGATACATTAAGAAGGAAAAGTTGTGTGCATGTATGTGTTTACGGATATGAAAATAAACTTTGGCAGAATAATTTTATTCTAGTTCATGGCTTTGCTTTGCAAATCATTGACTGTTTTTTTTATTTAATGCCATTTAAAACAAACTTCACCCCATGAAATCCTACAAAACAAGATTTACTGGAAATATTGAAGGTTTTTAATGTTTATGTCTTAAGTCACTGGGACATTCTATTGATGTATTTGAACAGCACCGTGTTTGAATCAACAACAA